AGCTCTGCGTGTTGTTTCACTAGTGTTTCGAGGGCACGACCTTCTGAAAATCGCAAATATTAATTCTCAGCAAGAAGCCCTCTTTCGCTATAGGAAAAATAAGTTCCCCGAGATAGCGGCGGAAATGGAGCCTAGGTCTTGGTCAACACCTAGAAGGCTTTTCGCCTAACGTGCGTACGGAGTCAAAGTAGCCGGAAAATAAGCACCTTCCTTAAAATTAACAAATCTAGGGAACAATTTCTTTTACGGTTAACTCTTTTTTACCCAATTTACGGCTAACGGTTAAAATTTTTCAATTTTTACGGCTATCGACTAAATTTTTGGCCGTTTTACGCCTATCGGTTAACCCCATTGAGACCCTCGTTCAAAGGTATTGTCTCCAAGCTTTATTTTAACGTGGACAGAAGTAATTAACAATGCACTTGAAATATGCAAAAATGCTAGCTATTGTTGTCCACGAAAATATGAAACTTGGAGACAATACCCCTGAATAATGAGAGACTCTCACTTGTAAACGCAAAATTTCTGACAAGTTGTAACCCTTATTTTGCTGCCTTACGATATATCAAGAAACCACCCTCATTTCCAGAATGCTGTTTTGAGAATTAAATGATGAAGTGGGAAGGCAACATTCATATATCAAATAGAAAGTATTGTGAGCTTTCTACCTAAACAAATAACTGGTCAATTGAAACCCCCTCCCCTCCGAAAAAAAGGGAGGAACTCAATAGCCATAAGGGGCCTATAGCCTGCGTGGCGAGCGCTAAAAAGGCAAGGGAGAGAGAGGGAGAAAAGCTCAAATTTCCCCTCCCTCCCCCTCTTCTTTCGACGCCTGAGGCTAAGTGGCTTAATTCTTTCGCCTCATATGCGGAACATCAGCATTACACAGATTCTTTCTAGATAACCTGCGATCAGGGTTTGTTTTTTCTCCAAACAAAAAGGGAAGAAGGAGACCTGATCCCAGGTTACTTTCTAGACGACTTCCTGTGTTCAGTCTTCCTGAAGGATGGAGGCCCGCGCACGATTCCTAATCATCGATTCACGAAACATTCTACAATTTTATACAGAGTGAGATGCTACAATAATTCAGTCTTGATTAATCTAATTGTGCTCTGTGATTCAAGAACCACGAAAATAGCGAATCAGAGACTATAATTAGAAACTGATGTTATGAAAGTTCGAACTTCCGCTGTATTATTTTACAAAAATTACTTGTGTAAGAATTGTTACTCCAAAGATAAAAAAATAATAATAATATAGTTATATCAGGGGCACCCAACGACAATTTTTGGAAAATGTCTGTTCGGGAGACGATTTGAGTCTAGAATTTTCGGAACGTTTGTTGTAAATTTCTTGCTTGCCTGCCTCTCTAAGAGCTTCCTATAGGATTTTCGAACATCTAAAAAATGGTATAATTGCCCATTTTTGACGGATTTTTACCCTAGAATTTTCGGGAGCCCTTTTTCTGGCTGAAATTTTCGAAAAGGTAAGTTTTAATCCCTATGATTTTTGGATCACTAGACTTTCAGCTAGGAAATCCGAACAGATGAAACATTTTTAGGGGATAAATATATCTACCGTTTAAAACTAAAATACGTTCAACAATGCTATGTTAAAGAGGTTTTGAACTATATTCTAGTTGGGTGCCCCTGGTTATATTACATTTCCACTACGTGCTTAATCCACAGCAAATCAGACATCCGTAGCTAGGAAGTTATCGACAGATCACGTAAATATCCCTAGACCAATCAAAGTTCTGCTTTTAAAAACTGGATAAAAAGTATGATCATCTGAAGGGAGCTGTAAAGCATTTTGTGGCTTGCGGAGTTAAGTGGTTCATTACTAGGCGCCATGTCTACTGATATGATGCAGTTCGATATGCAAGAGCTCTTACCAGATGCTAAAGATTCGGAAACCAAGAAGCATGGTGTTAAGAATCTTTTGAACAGTAGATTCACTTTCCGATTGTGGCAAATTCTCGTTTTCTTGTTCGTAATGACAATCATTATTACTGTGACTGGTATTCTGGCCGCAAAGTTTGGTCCAGCGAGCCCATGCTACAAAATCTCTGGCAAAGAAACTAGTGGTGCATTCGCAGCAACCAAAGAGGATAGAGGTAACTTAACTTTCCTCCCACTTCGACACTTAGCATCTAGTGCTTCAATGCTGCGCTCTTCTAGATTATTGAATTTAGTACGTAATCCTGCAAGCAATTACATTCCTAAGACTACGAGAGAATTAAATTAATTCATCCAGTGCTCAATGAAACACCTTAGCAAGATATCTAACTTTAAAAGAAAACCTCCTAAGGTCAGGATTTAGTAAGTACCTAGTAACAAAATGTCGTCATCTAATTTCAATCCCAAGAAAGACCCTCAATCTTCGCTACATACGTGCCCCACACCCTGTCACCCACCGACTAAGATTTGAATCGTTTGCTCATTTCCATTTTGTTTAATCACCAGCTGAATCACCGACTTTCAGGTGGAAGTCAGTTTATTCGCGTCTCTCGTGTCTACCAAACGGAAGTTTCGTTACATGCAGACGCCCCGGGGGGTACTCCTGGGAATTCTTGGTGGTGGTGTGCTGCCCGGTTCTCCAAATCCTGACCCTATTTCAGACCAATGCAAAAATGTAATTTTCACACCTGTTTTTAGACCATACCCCTAAACACCATACCCCAGGGTTCGCACGCACCTTGAAAATCCTTGAAAGTCCTTGAATGTCCTTGAAAATTGCAGTCGGCACCGGAAAGTCCTTGAATTTCAATGCTAACTTAATAGTTTAAGGAGAACTGCAAAGGACAAGGAGCAAACACAAAGACATAAACTCAAGGCCCTTGTTTTGCACTGAATGTAGTCCTTGAAAAAGGCGAAATGTGTCCTTGAAAGTCCTTGAATTTTTTGTTCAAAAAAAGGTACGAACCCTGATACTCGTTTTCAGACCCGGCCTTTAGGCAAAAATTATGTTATCATTGCTTAGATTAGAGCGCAAACAAAAAATTCTTCAAATTCATTTCGAATTCGCATATTTATCTTTCTTTCGTACTCATTTGGAATTGAAACCATAAATACGTTCATACACTCCTGGTGAGTTCCCTCGAAAACCATACCCGATTCCAGACTAAAATGGGCAAAGTGTATACTAGCTTATACTCGTTTTCAGACCAAAACGGCGCAAAAACCCTACCCGATAAGGCGGCACATAGCTTATATAAGGGAGTACCCGCCCCCCCGGGCAGACGCGTATTGGGTCTTTATTTCAAAGTCCGACCAAAATTTTGTAGATAATTTCTTTTGTACGACCGAAATCGAGACTCAGGAAAATCGTGAAAAGGAAGCAAAACATGTACATGTAGCGGAAGAGTCAAGCAGTAAAATAATAGAAACAATAATCGATTAATCAATTCAGGTTCACATCAGGTCAATCAGTTTGGTTTGTGAAATCGTCTTGAAAGCAATACAAATGAATACATCTTCCATGACACGGTTCAAGACATTTACCTTTTTATGGCTGCCGTCATTCGGGACGTGTTCGACAGGTATCTTCAAATTAGATAGACTAGATAGACTGAAACGAGACTTCACATCATTTTGCCTTGCAGTTGTACGAAGTGTATATGATCAGGAGCTGTAGCCGAGAGGTTTTTATGGGGGAGCGTATGAGCACCGAAGATGCGACTATCTAATGTTACAATGCGATCTGGGGGCATGGTCCACAAGAAAATTTGTTAGAAATTGGATTGTCTGTTATAAGTTGCATTCCATACATACGATTTGATTGCAATTGCACCTTACATCAACTTTAGTCAATACAGATGTCAACAACACTTTTGGTGCAGTGGAAACCGAGTTGATTTGACAAAATTTTTATTTTTTTATGCCTCAACGATCATGATTGATCTTCTTATAAACTGCGTAGCTTAAGCCCACTTAATTCACTGTGTGATGACAAACTTCTGAGTATCGCACATATTATTCTAACGTTAAATTAACGAATATCAACACCGTTTGTTAGATTGACAGTGGATTGATTGCTTCAGACGCTTGCCGCCCGGTTTCAATAAGCGTTCGACTTTTCATGACTTCAGTCCTATTTACGAGATAACTTTTCAAAAAAAGCAATGGCAAATCCCAAAAATTGCTGGCCGTTGGTTGTAATAACCTTCCCTGCTAGCAGAGGTCTCTCACGACGTCTCTCACGTGTTCGGGGTTGCGTCACGAGGACATGACTGTTTCAGGTCAATTTTGCTCTGAGTTCATTTTCAATCACATACAAAACGCTCCTGTTAGAGTTATGAAGAAAATATCAGACAAATCGTTAGGGAGCAATATCTATGATAAAATTTTTTTGTTGATTTTTGCAGGCCTTAAGCATTCATAGTTAAAAACGTTGACCCAACTTCAAGTTTCAATCCATGTCCCCGTTCTTTCCATCCGTAGCGACAGACTACAGGAAACACTTTCAATGCCTAAACATATACGTGCTAAAAATCAAAACTGGACCATTATCTTTGGAGACGTGTTCTGCTTTTCTCTCAAATTTGTTCAACCTAAAGAAACTTAATAGCCCAGATGCTCTACCACCAAGCTACAGGAGACTATTAGTAGGAGACTATATGAGAGGGCGCAGAGGAGTTATTTGTGACCTTGATTGTTCATTGTACCCTTGTACCACGCATCGCCTTTGTTTTTATATTGTAGAATCCAGCAAACCGTCATTCGATCGTGTTATACTGTCTGTACCTAGTCCCCCCCCCCAGTACTTGTTCATGACGAGACCCAACCCTCCAACAGACGGGACGCGGTCCATGGGAGGGTATGGCGCACCATGATCGTACCACCGTTCCCACAGACCTTGTTCGAACCTAACGCCTCGCCTGGAAACCCAGAGACACAGTGTTCAAAGATTTCTACACAGACAATTCGCGTTCCCACTTCAACCATACGAAGGGGCAAGAGTAGCTTATTTAAAATTTGTAATATACAGAAACCGGCCTAATGTTATATAATGTTTTCTCCACATGTTATATAGATATCGACGAATGCTGCATCGGTACTCACGATTGCCACCAAAATGCAACTTGCATAAATACCCCTGAACACTTTAATTGCAGTTGTTTACCAGGATTCACGGGTGATGGCCACCAGTGTTATGGTATGACTCACTTCTAGCAGGAAGTGCACTTAAACTTGAAAGAAAGACAACCAAGCGCAAAATTCCGCACATGTAATGGGAAAACAATGTCCGAGTTTTCCTAAAGTTCCAATGATCTGAATATAAATAAAAAAAAAAGGCAACTCGGCGAAAAATTCACGCAGTGTCACAATACACCTTTTATCTTACTTCTTAATAATGGATCGAAAATCGCGTTTTTTTAAACACTTCATTGTTTTCTTTTCTGTGTCCTAGCAATAGCAGATAAGCTTTCCAACGGCATGCAACCTGTGTAAATATTGCCCGACACCTTTATTTTTCCTCTCAGCTATAGTCTTCCAAAAAAAACGTCCACTTGATTTCGTAAATTGTATCTCTCGTATTAAGGAAATTTAGTTTACGAGAACTTCTTCTGCCAATTGTTCTTTTTTACTAATCCTATTCAGATATCGATGAATGCAGCAACGACAGCCATGATTGCCATCAAAATGCAACTTGTGCAAATACTGCTGGACACTATAATTGCAGCTGTCAGTCAGGATTTGCAGGAAATGGCCGCCAATGTCATGGTATAATATTGCACGATTTTCAATTGATCTTAAAGTTTATGTCGATCTTGAATTATGTCTTAGAATACATTTTTTATCCTTCTTTTTAATTAGATATCGATGAATGCAGCAACGGTAGCCATGATTGCCACCAAAATGCAACTTGTTCAAATACCGCTGGACGCTTTAATTGCAGCTGTCAGTCAGGATTTGCAGGAAATGGCCGCCAATGTCATGGTATAATATTGCACGATTTTCAATTGATCTTAAAGTTTATGTCGATCTTGAATTATGTCTTAGAATACATTTTTTTACCCTTCTTTTTAATTAATTACTCTTCTTTTTAATTCTAATAAAATTAGATATCGATGAATGCAGCAACGGTAGCCGTGATTGCCACCAAAATGCAACTTGCATAAATACCCCTGGACAGTTAAATTGCAGCTGTCAGCCAGGATTCATGGGAGATGGTCACCAGTGTTATGGTATGACTCACTTCTAGAAGGAAGTGCACTTAAATTTGGAATCGGTGATAAATCGTAAAACCGGCGGCCAGCGCGATGAATGCAAACAAAGCCAATGAGCCACAATCGCCATAAAGATATGTTTTGTATTTATACTCAGCTGGAAAGAAATTCGTATGAGGCCACAAGTTACACTGTCATGATAACAATAATATTTTACTTTTTTATATTGGATCGGGAATCTAATTCTTTAATCTTTGTGATTTTTTGTCCCATCCCAATAAATGTCTCGTAGCAATAGCAGCCTTGCTTGCCACCAGCAAAGAATTTGTGTTAATATTGCTAGGCACCTGTCTCCCGAAAAGGCCGTCAGTGACGTTTCGTAATTTGCTCCTTCCTTAGTAAGAAAATAAACTTTACTTGAACTTCGAACGAGTGCTTTTGCTTTATGGTCTGAATGTATACGACAGAGTGGATCGAATTTTGAAATTTCGACTAAGGAAGACATAAAATGATAGTTTATGTTACAGAAAGCAAAAAGAAACAATCGCATCTTCATGACAAACGTTCTACTAAACCCTTCTTCCCCAAATATCTTGGAATTACCGCGCCACTCCTTCTAGGCCATAACACAAACAGTTACTGGCAAGAATCGGATACATAGTTCCTGTGGACTCGCAGCAGCTAACCACAAAATTCCAAAATTTAAAAATACGCAGATCAATTCTTCCATCACGATTTTTTCCATTTACACGGGTTTTAAGTAAAATGGATATACATCTAATTAATTGATCAATAAATGGCTGACCCAAGATGGCGGACGCTTCCAGACCTTTGTTTATAATAAATGAATTCATCGTAATTTCACTGAAAGCAGAATAAAAATTGTGCAGTCAACTTTTTTTGAGGGGAAAAAATGGTGGAATTTGACCTCTGCCAAAAAACTTAACAATTTGGCGTCATAGTGACGTCAGATTACGTCACCGTGTCAATCAAATTATGCTTCGATGTTGAAAATAGTGAGTACATTACCACAGGCTCCTGGTACCTTATTCTGTGTAAGTTTTAGTTGCCTATCATGAATGGATTTGAAGTTATTGAGGGAGGCCTCCGAAACCCCCCTCGATCGCAGGAAGCAAAAAATAAATAAATAAAACCCGCAGTTAAGCCCTTCAACGCAAATATTTTGGAAACGATGCACCTCTCCTCCTAGTAAATATAGCAGCCGAGCCATTTTTGGATGCATTTCTAGTCAATTTAGAAGACCTGAATTCCAATATGACTTGGAGACCACGTTCCCTGATTACGCTTGCATTTACGCTTAGGTGTTAATTAAGGTTAAGCCTCATCGCTCTTAACTAACTCGTGGCCAGCCTCTGTAATTGTACTTTCTAGGAACGTATCATGCCTTTGAGGTGATCGTTGAACCCGGAAAAAAAGGCGCAACTTTTAATAAGAGAATCCATTTGTTTTGTTTAACTTAGAAATAATATGCAACTTTGATGTTTCATTGTGCGGTTTCGTGCAAAGCGACAATGACACGTTTGACTGGACTCGACACAAGGGAAGCACACGTTCTCATGATACAGGTCTCTCCTTTGATCACACCACAGGAAATGTAACAGGTAAGCTTTAAACCAATTCATCAGTACATCTAGCTAGTCCTACTATTAGCAACGAGAATTGTAACGTTTAACAAATTAAGAAGTCAGTTGGTCGGCATTTCTGCTTCATTTTTTGCTTGAAAATATCGCTAGTTTTAGTCCCAATTGCAAATTTAATTACATGTCACTCTTTTCTACCCCTTTTTTGTTATTGTTGTTGTTGCTGTTGTTTTCTTAGATTAAACTGCTCGTTTTTGTTTCTTTTTTTGTTGCCTGTACGTTGCACAGGTGTATCAAATATAGGCGAGAGTATCTAATTTCGACTGCCTCTTCGGATCGGTGCAAGTACAACGTTGCAGTTACTCTTTACATCCGTGGGCTTTGTTGTCATTTGCCCTCTTATTCTACCATGAATATAATACGTCTGTCTTCAAAGAAAATAATAAAACAAATAAGAAGAAACTTGGGAACTTACTTATAGGTACTTCGGATGATCATTCTACGTCCTTTAAGCTAAACTAACGTTGTTAGAATACTGTAATTTTAAGTCAACTGGACACTTTTTCAGTGCCTTCTGGTCAATTTGTTTTGCCTGTTGCTTTCCTTACATTTTTTTTCTCTTAGTAGGTTATTACATGTGCATTTTTTAGAAATATTGAGTCCACAGGAGAGCTAGACGATATGACAAAATCGGGCCATCCTCTACCGAAAAAGACTAAGTTGCTACTCTCTAACCATCTTCATCCCTATAAGGTTATTACATGTATATAGAAGCATCCAGACCAAGACAACCAGGTGATAACGCAAAATTGTCAAGTCCTCCACTGAAATTCTTTGGGAATATGTGCCTTCAGTTCTATTACCATATGTCTGGTGCAACTACTGGAAGCCTGAATGTCACCGTAAGTGAGAACTTAGTGTTCTCTGCACGTGGTGGAAAAGGAGGCATGTGGCGTAAAGCCAGCGTAAATGTATCAGCTATCGAGGGATTGCATAGGGTAAGCCATGCGTTTTTTTGGTGTCTCTTCTAACAACAACAATAACAACAACCCAATCTTTATTTTTATCAACTCATTGCTTAACTATAAATTAGGATAATGAAAATATTGGAAATAAAATTAGAATTTAAACTTCAATGACCCCATCAATGGTGGTAAAACGCTGTTCACTGAGAGCGGTAATTGGGGAAGCCAACCGGGTTGGGAGCGATGAGCCACCAATAGCTCACTTTTTTTGTTAATTTAATTGCCATTAAAGTACAGCAGTGGGTCTGGGAATTTTTTAATAAAGGGTTCCGAACTTGTGCTCACCGTTGAAAGTATGTTACAATTGTTTACAACTCATAGTTTTCACCAATCCTGGCCATCATTCTCTCTTATTTAGTTACATTTATATAAACTACGTAGATTCCTATCTGCGATCCTTAAGTGGTGGTAATTTCAGTTTTATTGAAAGCACCTTCAATAACAAGACTTTTCTGGTCTGAAGGATGCGCAGGTCCACCTTCCAGAAGACGTCTTTCGGTTCTCGGGTCTATGTTCTCCGAATCTTACTTTAGCCATAAGTTTTTGTACTTCGGTCTGTAATGAAAAACTAAAAAAGTCGACAAGACTGCATCCGTTATAATACTTCATCTTGACCATTAATTATAAATTAAGCACACATGAAATATAAGTGATGTACCATTTGGTAACATTATTTAGTCATAGCAAGATTATTCTTTCTTACTCATACATGTAGTGGTGCAAGTAAGTTCGTAAATGTAGTGCAAAATATGATGCGCTTGGTATTTCCAAGAGGATCTGTTTTGCTATTATCCGACATTTCCTTATTTCTATTGTTAAGTTTGTAGTTTTTTTGACAAATTCGAAGATAATTTCCATTAATTTCGAGACATTAATAACAACAGGCTGAGAAGGCCTGACTAACGTGGAAACTGTCCATTGTAAACTTCCGCATCACCCTTCGTCAATGTGACCACTGTATCGTTAACTGCTGAAGAGGAACTGTCGTCCCAGTACAGAAATACCATTCAAAAAAGACTAAAAGGTGCACTGTCGCCTATTTTGAAATTAAAAAAAAAAAGACGTCTTTGCAAATTTTCAGAGCGTGAAGGGGGGCCGGGGCACTTGATAAGCAAATAGACGAGATGCCACAAGGTTCTGTTTTCTTTCATTCTCCCCGCCGGTGACGGTACTTTTCAGTTGTTGCTTCACCTACTTCGCCTGCAACTACTGGCGAACTTAAAAGCTGTTTTTATATACACAGTCTGTAGTCCGTGTTTTATACTCACTCCGTAGTTTCTAGTCTGCATGTTATAGCTACAATCATCGTCAAAAGTGTTGGGAAGGTTGCCTTTTTTACCTGTTCTTTTCCTTCCTCCCCCCGCCCCTGGCCCAATGTTGATCAAAACGTTAATCTTTGTGCGCCTAATTGTTCTGTTATATCCCAGCATTGAACAGGGGGGACGGGGGATATTTAGCGATTAAAAGGATTAAAATGGACTACTGTTAAGTTGTACAAGACCTTCCCAACTACTTTTGTCTGTGATTGTAGTCCGTGTTTTATAAACAGTCCACAGTCCGTGGTCCGCAGTCTGCAGTCCGTGTTATATACTGACCTGTTCGATTAGGTTCGATTGAGTTCGATAAAGTTCGATTACCGAACAGTTTGAGTAGTTACGTCCGCATTTGAGAGGCAATGTCCCTAAAAGCGTTCCACTCGATTTCAGACTCGAACACACTTTTGCCTTATTTTTATATCATCAATACCACTATCCATCCTTATAACTAAATTGCAGTTAGAATGAGGAAATAGTTTATTTTACTGCCATTCTCAGCATTTCATCTCTAAACGATCGTTACGGGCTAAAATATGCAAATTTTAGACGCTGTTATTCAGCTTTTTTAACGATCGTTAAAAGCTACTACGGGCCGTTAAAACCTAGACCATTTACACTCATTTGGAAGTATATTGTTTCTACTTACTGTTTCAATACGATTTAGTCGTATCTCTTTGTAATCAGCAAAAACAGGTTATCTTTATTCTCGTAATTCAATTAAGTAAGAAAACTGCACCAAAAGATTTGTATTTGTATTTGTATTTATTTATTTGCCACAAGATTACAATTACAAAAAGATGCCAAAAAAAAAAAAAAGAAGGAAGAAAAGGCGAGGAGGCCTAAAGGAAACTTTAAAGCTTATGTTAATTAGGCCTCTTCAATTACAATTTTTCAAAGATGGCATAAAAATTATGGCGACAGATACAAAATAATATAACGTGGAAAATTAAAATAACAATCAATATACAAATGTTGAATAATAAAAGGCTTTTGGAGTATACTAATAATTATTACAAATAAATGCCTTAAGTACTCTTTTAAAGGAAAAAGGTGAGGAAGCGTTGATGATGTTGGTGTTTAAGGTGTTGTAAAATTTAGGTCCTTGATAAAAAGTACGACAGAAAGGCAGACGAAATTTCACGAGTTTTATTGTATTATACGAATGAATTTGACTTTGTAAGGTAAATTGACAATGAAATTTTAAAGGTAGAGTATGGTTTTGAAAGGAGTACATGAATAAGCCTAGTTGTATTAAGTATATATCATGAAATTTTAAGATACCAAGATTTTGAAAGTTTGGATCAGTATATGCATCGAAGGTGGTTTTACCTATAGTTCTGATCACTCGTTTCTGTAAAATCTCAAGACGAATAAGGTTAGTTCTGTAAGTAGAGGCCCAAACTAACTTGCCGTAAAAAAGTATGGATAGACTAGAGAAAAATATAGTGTTCGTAAGGTTTTCGTAGATAAATAGAAACTGGATTTACGAATAATTCCTGTGCATTTAGAAACTGTATTGGCGACATGTGAGATTTCAGATTTCCAATTTAAATTTTCATCCGTGATTACTCCCAAGAAAACTGTTTTTCTATTACCTGATCAATTTTTTGGCTATTAATTAAAAGATCAATAGTTTCATTTGTACGCTTTTGATATGGTTTAAATACAATGAATTTGGTTTTTTTCAAGTTTAATGAAAGCCTGTTAGCTCTAAACCATATTGACAACTTATTTAGCTCAGCGTTCAGTATATTAGTCAGGCAGTCTTTATCCTTGTGAGACACAAATATGTTTGTATCATCGGCAAATAATATCAATTGTAATATTGTTGACGTGTTGATTATATCGTTGATGTAGAGCAGAAAAAACAAAGGCCCTAGTATTGAACCTTAAGGAACGCCACACATGATATTAGCACGAGACGAAACATAACCATTGTATTCTACAAATTGAAGTCTGTTGGAAAAATAGCTCTTAATCCATTTCAGAGCCAAGCCGCGTATACCATAGTGTTCAAGTTTATCAAATAAGATGGAATGATTGACTGTATCGAAAGCTTTCGAGAGATCTAAAAAGACACCAACCGCTAATTCACCACGATCAATAGCAGATGAAATTTTTTCATGCAAATCAATCAAGGCAAGCGTCGTAGAGTGGTTTTTCCTGAAGCCGGCAACGTAGCGTGGTTACCAAGCCGATTTCAGCGGTCATCGTACTTGTCGTGTTGGTTTTGGACGCGGTTTTCTACCAGCGTTGGACCGTTTAATCGTGGAAACAAACTGCCGTTTGCCTTCGCTCGCAGGGACGCGATTGCTTGGCTAGGGAGCGAAAATGAAAGTTAAACCTTTGCAGTGGGATTCTACGGTGGAATTTTGGCCGTGGGGAAATTTTGACCTGGAATTTTTGGCTTCTTTCGGCGGGCTGTCCATATTGCCTGTGTTTGGCCTTGTCCTCTCTTTATTAGTGAAAACTCGGGATAAAGGAAATCGCTTAAATCGCAACGGATCGGGAAAATAACCACACAGGAAGCAAGAAGACACCAAGTAAACAAGGCAAAGCGTATTTTATTGAAAATCCATGAGAGTATTTATCTTCTCGAATCTATTACCTGAATTCCCATTGAAATCCTTTACAATGACGGTCATTTTGAAAATTACGCAACCGCAAGTACTCTCATATTGAGCTTGGGCCGCCTGTGATTTCACACCGACAGCGGGCCGGCTCATCCTGGCAAGACGTTGACCATGGTACCATGGTTTTTCAACGCCGACCATGTTTGAACATGGTCGGCCATGGTTCGACCGTGGTGTGTGACCATGGTGTGTTATCAACCCTTGACCATGGTATATTGCTAATCATAATGGTAACAAAGTTAAGTCAGTGAAAGCACATAACAGCACATAATAATTCTATTTTTTCGAATTAGAAATGCATTGAGTTAAGGCCACGCCAAACCATGGTCGACCATCTCCAATCCTTAGTCCCACACAATTACAGTCGAACCCGACTAATACGGACATCGAAGGGACAGAGCGAAGGGTCCGTATTAGAGAGGTTTCCGTATAAAAGAGGTCACTATGATGACGTCACTTTAATGACTCCACTTCCAGGTTTAAGCGTTCAGTAGCTAAAACCAGGCTCACACTCGTCTTTAAACTAGCTGCATTTAAAGTTGTTAATTCACAGTACAAAGACACTGTCTTTTAGTAGTATACAGCATTGTACATCTCAGCTATAGACAAATCACTGTTTTAAAGCGAAACAAGCTACAGCGCAAAGCTGCATGTACGAAGTTGTAACGTAAAGCACAATTCTGAAAGCGTCTTTCGCTATTTTGCAAGTGCAGTAAACAGTAACTAGAGTACAAAATGTAATAGAAAAGATATTTATGCTATCTGTGGTTGTTGAAGCCTTCAAAAAGTCGGTTATGCTCCTCTGTACACCTTTCGCAAATCGTTGTTTCACAGCGACTGGCCTTTATATGACCTTGCATAGCTCATCAGACTAGTCGTGATTTTCCCTGAGCAGATTCACCTGATCGGGATTCGGGATTCACCTGATCACCGCAGTGTCAGTAATAAAAAGGTTAAGTTTATATGAATTTGCTCTCTGGGGCCGAGATTTTGTGTCCGTTCAGTCCGTATTAGAGAGAGTCCGTATCATAGAGGTTTTTTTAATGAAAATATATGGGAATTTTGTCGGGACATTGGAAACTGTCCGTAATAGAGGTGTCCGTATTAGAGAGGTTCGACTTTACTGCAATTCAGTTCTTGTTGATTTTTTTTAGTTTTATTTTCCTTTAATTATTTTTAGGTATAGGCCAAACACAATCCATTGATAACATTTTCAAAGAATTTTTTCCATTTTTCTCAAAAAGATTTGTATTTGTATTTGTATTTATTTATTTGCCACAAGATTACAATTACAAAAAGATGCCAAAAAAAAAAAAAAAATGTAGGAAGAAATGGCGAGGAGGCCTAAAGGAAACTTTAAAGCTTATGTTAATTAGGCCTCTTCAATTACAATTTTTCAAAGATGGCATAAAAATTATGGCGACAGATACAAAATAATATAACGTGGAAAATTAAAATAACAATCAATATACAAATGTTGAATAATAAAAGGCTTTTGGAGTATACTAATAATTATTACAAATAAATGCCTTAAGTACTCTTTTAAAGGAAAAAGGTGAGGAAGCGTTGATGATGTTGGTGTTTAAGGTGTTGTAAAATTTAGGTCCTTGATAAAAAGTACGACAGAAAGGCAGACGAAATTTCACGAGTTTTATTGTATTATACGAATGAATTTGACTTTGTAAGGTAAATTGACAATGAAATTTTAAAGGTAGAGTATGGTTTTGAAAGGAGTACATGAATAAGCCTAGTTGTATTAAGTATATATCATGAAATTTTAAGATACCAAGATTTTGAAAGTTTGGATCAGTATATGCATCGAAGGTGGTTTTACCTATAGTTCTGATCACTCGTTTCTGTAAAATCTCAAGACGAATAAGGTTAGTTCTGTAAGTAGAGGCCCAAACTAACTTGCCGTAAAAAAGTATGGATAGACTAGAGAAAAATATAGTGTTCGTAAGGTTTTCGTAGATAAATAGAAACTGGATTTACGAATAATTCCTGTGCATTTAGAAACTGTATTGGCGACATGTGAGATTTCAGATTTCCAATTTAAATTTTCATCCGTGATTACTCCCAAGAAAACTGTTTTTCTATTACCTGATCAATTTTTTGGCTATTAATTAAAAGATCAATAGTTTCATTTGTACGCTTTTGATATGGTTTAAATACAATGAATTTGGTTTTTTTCAAGTTTAATGAAAGCCTGTTATCTCTAAACCATATTGACAACTTATTTAGCTCAGCGTTCAGTATATTAGTCAGGCAGTCTTTATCCTTGTGAGACACAAATATGTTTGTATCATCGGCAAATAATATCAATTGTAATATTGTTGACGTGTTGATTATATCGTTGATGTAGAGCAGAAAAAACAAAGGCCCTAGTATTGAACCTTAAGGAACGCCACACATGATATTAGCACGAGACGAAACATAACCATTGTATTCTACAAATTGAAGTCTGTTGGAAAAATAGCTCTTAATCCATTTCAGAGCCAAGCCGCGTATACCATAGTGTTCAAGTTTATCAAATAAGATGGAATGATTGACTGTATCGAAAGCTTTCGAGAGATCTAAAAAGACACCAACCGCTAATTCACCACGATCAATAGCAGATGAAATTTTTTCATGCAAATCAATCAAGGCAAGCGTCGTAGAGTGGTTTTTCCTGAAGCCGGCAACGTAGCGTGGTTACCAAGCCGATTTCAGCGGTCATCGTACTTGTCGTGTTGGTTTTGGACGCGGTTTTCTACCAGCGTTGGACCGTTTAATCGTGGAAACAAACTGCCGTTTGCCTTCGCTCGCAGGGACGCGATTGCTTGGCTAGGGAGCGAAAATGAAAGTTAAACCTTTGCAGTGGGATTCTACGGTGGAATTTTGGCCGTGGGGAAATTTTGACCTGGAATTTTTGGCTTCTTTCGGCGGGCTGTCCATATTGCCTGTGTTTGGCCTTGTCCTCTCTTTATTAGTGAAAACTCGGGATAAAGGAAATCGCTTAAATCGCAACGGATCGGGAAAATAACCACACAGGAAGCAAGAAGACACCTAGTAAACAAGGCAAAGCGTATTTTATTGAAAATCCATGAGAGTATTTATCTTCTCGAATCTATTACCTGAATTCCCATTGAAATCCTTTACAATGACGGTCATTTTGAAAATTACGCAACCGCAAGTACTCTCATATTGAGCTTGGGCCGCCTGTGATTTCACACCGACAGCGGGCCGGCTCATCCTGGCAAGACGTTGACCATGGTACCATGGTTTTTCAACGCCGACCATGTTTGAACATGGTCGGCCATGGTTCGACCGTGGTGTGTGACCATGGTGTGTTATCAACCCTTGACCATGGTATATTGCTAATCATAATGGTAACAAAGTTAAGTCAGTGAAAGCACATAACAGCACATAATAATTCTATTTTTTCGAATTAGAAATGCATTGAGTTAAGGCCACGCCAAACCATGGTCGACCATCTCCAATCCTTAGTCCCACACAATTACAGTCGAACCCGACTAATACGGACATCGAAGGGACAGAGCGAAGGGTCCGTATTAGAGAGGTTTCCGTATAAAAGAGGTCACTATGATGACGTCACTTTAATGACTCCACTTCCAGGTTTAAGCGTTCAGTAGCTAAAACCAGGCTCACACTCGTCTTTAAACTAGCTGCATTTAAAGTTGTTAATTCACAGTACAAAGACACTGTCTTTTAGTAGTATACAGCATTGTACATCTCAGCTATAGACAAATCACTGTTTTAAAGCGAAACAAGCTACAGCGCAAAGCTGCATGTACGAAGTTGTAACGTAAAGCACAATTCTGAAAGCGTCTTTCGCTATTTTGCAAGTGCAGTAAACAGTAACTAGAGTACAAAATGTAATAGAAAAGATATTTATGCTATCTGTGGTTGTTGAAGCCTTCAAAAAGTCGGTTATGCTCCTCTGTACACCTTTCGCAAATCGTTGTTTCACAGCGACTGGCCTTTATATGACCTTGCATAGCTCATCAGACTAGTCGTGATTTTCCCTGAGCAGATTCACCTGATCGGGATTCGGGATTCACCTGATCACCGCAGTGTCAGTAATAAAAAGGTTAAGTTTATATGAATTTGCTCTCTGGGGCCGAGATTTTGTGTCCGTTCAGTCCGTATTAGAGAGAGTCCGTATCATAGAGGTTTTTTTAATGAAAATATATGGGAATTTTGTCGGGACATTGGAAACTGTCCGTAATAGAGGTGTCCGTATTAGAGAGGTTCGACTTTACTGCAATTCAGTTCTTGTTGATTTTTTTTAGTTTTATTTTCCTTTAATTATTTTTAGGTATAGGCCAAACACAATCCATTGATAACATTTTCAAAGAATTTTTTCCATTTTTCTCGAGCCATGGTAACTTTTGTACGACCATGTCCGAATCCTCGCTAGTGGAATTAATGCAATCGGTGGGAATGGTACACGAATGCCTTAATGCCTTTTTTATATATCCAATGGATTGAACGAGGCACAGGGAGACGCAAGTTTCGTGTCACAACCCGAGGTCGAACAAAGTATTTTGTTGGAGAGTGGCTTAGCAAGGTCGATTGTATCTCGAGTCATAAGAACGTTGCATTTTGCTAGCTGTATTGTGGCCGGAAAGAAACAATGCGTTAACATAATTAAGAAAAAAATTACCTGATCAATATTTGAGACTGTGATTATTCTTCTTGCTTGTGTATCAGTCACCATACTATGCTTGATTAAGCGTATTTTCTCAACTCCTGCAGCTCGATCCGAATTTGATCGGCGAATTTGTTTGACTCGCGACGACCGCACAAAAGCAGGGCACAGAAGCATGGCTCGGTCAATTCCAAGCGTGTACATCCCCCTTCGGTTATTTGTCGGGCATTTGTCATTTTGTTTTGGAAAAGCTACAAATGCCCCACGGTGGGGCCGGGCGTTCATATACCAAAACCCCACGATGGGAATTAAAAATAGGGTGCAAATGGCCCACCCGGGACAACACCAAAATTACAGTTTCCAGTAAATAAGCTGCAAATATCATATTTATAGGAAATCTGTAATAATCTGATCAAACTAGCGCGTGAGGCACCTTACGCAAATCGCTCCTTGTTACTAGTTCAGTAATAATTGCAATTATTGCGCTTGGAAGTAGTGGGTGAAAGAGAGAAGGGACGCGCGCGAGGGAGACACGCGAGACATACTCATGGACGAGTGCCAGTCGGGTTACTTGCACAAATTTACAAGGGACACCATGGTCATTCGAGCCAGAAAGGTTGGGGAAAAGATTAAAAGCTAGGCAAATAGACCATAAGTACGTGAACTTTGTTGTATCTGCTTGCGTAAACCGTCGTGGTATTTTGTGTCCGCAATTGTGTAATTTTGTTTTTAAAATTTGTGTCGCGGGCCGTGTTTACGGGACCAGCAAGAGCATGAAATTGGCAACGTCTAGTCTCCAGAATAGGAGGTTCGATTCAGAAGTCACACACGTTTATATTCCATATCTTCTTCGCTAATTAAATCGACCGTACTTGTCATCAATCCCTTCGAGTTTGGGGTTCTGTTTATTTCTCAATTCTCCACTAAATTCAGTACAGCTTGTTTGATTGATTTTCTACAACGATCGGTCCTTTGAACCCAAAATAATAATGCGAAATAGCTTTGATATACGCGCTTAAGCTATTTTTTTCAAACAGCGTCTATGGCAGAGAAAAATGGTTTTAAAAAAAACAAACTCACTTCGCCAAAAACTGAGTGTCATAATAGTGCAGTGGTCAAGGATTTGCTTGCACGTGCAGATGAACGAGGTTCTACTCGCGACGAAGCTGTTTTCTGTTTCTTTGTTGTACAATATTTTATTCTGTGAGGGAAATTTAATTAGTTTGTTGAGCCAAAATATGCACGTATTCCAGATGGTATGCAAACAATGAAATCTAAGGCTAAGACTAAAACAAATAGCTATATGCCTTTGCCAAATTATCAGGACTAACATACCAGATTGAAATTTACCAAAATTACGCATTAAAATTGTCAACTGAACATAAGATCCTGCCATGGTCCTGACTGCGATTACGGTAATACAAAGTTTAACCCTTACAATACAGAATCTTAGTAGTTGGACTGGTTTTCCACAAATTAGCATAGAATCGAAATGGAATGGGAAATGGGAAATTTTTTGGGATGTAAACGAATCAATCTCGTTTTTGTTTTTTAGTACCTGTTATGCGCTTGAGCCAAAACTTTTTCCTTTTTCGGCAAATCTATTTCGATCCTTCTTTCTTGTTCTCTTTCTTAGTTTTGTTGCCCATTTTATCGTCATTCTTTCCTACGGAATTTCGGCTGGCTAACTTCCCAGGAGGACGAAAGTTTTATCTGGAAAGAGTAGTAGGTGAATGCTGAAATTGACAGTGGATTTTCAGTTCCCCAAAATGTTAGTCTGCCGCCGGGGATTAGTGAGAATCTGTCCTTCCTGAACCCGTAAATTGCCAACTGAATCACATGAATTAAAATGAAAACAAACTCGGATCAATTTTGTGAAATATTGTTTGCTGAAGCCAAGAAAGTGTCACTTGACATTGTTTCAGTAAACAAAAAGAAAAAAAACTAATTTGTTTCCACTTTCAACCATAGTTATTAGAGGAGACTGGTTATGAAAAGCGGCAAACATCAATGATAAAAACAACAGTGCTGCAGTTAATGTTGGAAGCACCCTGAAAGTGCACAATCCTTTGTTTTCTGTTGGCAAATTGTTGCGGAATAAATTAATGCAACGTTTTTATTGGTCAATACAATCAAAATGAGAGGAATTCTTTTGAACGTTGTGGACTTTCAGGTCCACAAAAACATATAACAAAGGAGTCTGACGGGTTTCATAACCATTCCACTCAATTAACTATGTTTCAACATACTATTAAATTTATATAGCGATTCACAAAACTAGTTTTGTCAAACGACCTCTTCAGTTGATCGCCACAGTATTCAAAATAACAGACACTCTACCTAGCAATGCATGAAAAATGACCCCTAGTAATAATGAGGCTATTGGGCTACAACAGTCCTTTTGGATGCGGACGTAGTTCCATTCACTTTTTTTTCACCCTAAATGACCCGATCCTTTGTCAAGGGATTAAATTAATACCACGGCTTTCTTTATGGGGAGAAATGCCTTTTACAAAAGTGTGTGTAACCTCACCTTATGACCTGTTTATTGTTTATTATCATTTTGCCACCCAAACAAACATATACGTAGAAAGTTTAAAAGAAGAGGAGGCAAGGGAACCCAAGAAAGCCAAGAAAGCCAAGAAAGCCAAGAAACCCAAGAATAAGGCTGGAGAATAGGACTCCTTAAGGGAGCCAGATAGCCTGTGCCAGGCTCTCAGATAGTATAGTGGGAACGTTTTAAAACGAGCAAAACGAAAATAAGACGCGCATGACTTGGGAAAGGGGGCGGTGGCGGCGGGAAAAATGTCCCCAGCCCCCGCGCTTATTACTGAACGACTTTCCACCACCATCTCGGAGCCTGGAACAGGCTAGGGGCAAGACGTCGAATTTATCATGAGACGACCTAAATTACGATTTGGGTAGACATTAAGTTCGATTTAAGTGAACGATTATACTACCTAATTGGTAGTTAATTTCGCGTTTTTGGCGATTGTAAAAAAATCCCGAAATTAAAGACCCGCGAATATAAATCAGCGCGTAATGTTAAAACCCATGTAGAAAATTCAAAACACGCCAAAAAATATATATATTAACAATTTACCAACAAAATATACATTATGTTCAACAAACACACAAATTGTTGATTGGTTTTACTGGTAATGAAAAGTTTTATTTTGTATCTTCATTTGTGAAATAGCGTTAATTGCAAAGATTTCACACATTGCATGTTCCAGTTTATCTAGAAATTTTAAGAAGTTCAGACTTTTTGAAAAATAAAATCAATTTGAGAATGCTTGAACCGCAAAACTTAATGGCCTTTTTTTTTTTTTTTCGTATTTGCCTGTTGAAATCGCGAAAATAAAACCCTGCGAAAAACTATCTTGCCAAATTCGTGAAATTAAGTATTTCTTTTTTTTTTTTTACTGTCACTTTTTCATGAATTTTTGCGGCGTAAGTATTTCGAGCACTCGTGAATTTTATGCTTTCGTTTTCCTATCCAGATTGTTCCAGTTATCACTTTGAAAAATACCAAGATTTACCAACCAGAGGAACTCACGCCGTGGAACACTTCAACATCAATGGAAGTTTGTTTCTCGCATTCGCCAACTTTAAAAGTGACACCGCCGAAAAATTTAACACAGACTCTTTCATCTACAAGTTCAACGATTCGACTAGAAAATTCTTCCTTTATCAAACCATTGGTACAAATGGAGGGCTTGACGTGAAATATTTTACAATTTCTGGCGAACATTACCTTGCTTTTGCTAATTCCTTCAATGGAACTACAAGCAGAATGAACTCAGTTATTTATCGTTGGAATGGAACATTGTTCGTTGCATTTCAAAACATTGCAACGAACGGAGGAGACAGCTTTGATTTTTTTGAAATAGCAAAAAAACCCTTCCTTGCCATATCCAATGTCTACAATGTCTACAGTGGCTTTACACTTAGGGAAAAATCAAGCATCTACGAGTGGAGAACACACAGATTTGCAAAGTTTCAGGAGATAGAAACAAATGGAGGTCGTGAAAGTGCTGCTTTTGTAATTAATAATGAAAGCTACATTGCTTTTGCAAACGCCGCCGCGCATTCAGTCATTTATAAGTGGTCAGGGAAAAGATTCTTTCACCTGCAAAATCTTCCTAAAGCGGTGGATTTAAAATCATTTTACGTTAATGATCACGCCTTTCTTGCCCTTGCATCTTCTGTAGTGAATGCGGACTCATCTATTTACAAGTGGAATGGCAACCAGTTTGTGTTATTTCAGTCTATTCCTGCTCGTAGAGCGAGGGGCTTTCATCCATTTGTCATGTGTGGTCAAACGTTTCTGGCTGTGGCTGATCGGCACAACACGAATTCCGCACTGTATCGGTTCTCTCAGGGCAAGTTCACCAAATATCAGGAAATTTCAACCGTTGGGGCGATTGAAATGACGTCATTTGAATATAGGGGTCATACTTACCTGGCTGTTGCTAATTCAGGAAATAATAACCAAATGAACATTAAAAGTACGGTGTACAAGTGGATCTAAAGAGAATGTTAACCCTCGGACGTACACCCGAACTCATAACCAAGACAAGACAAGACAATGCTTTATTTGGAGTCTTATACAGTCCTATGTACATCGACTTTATCCAAATAATTTAAAATCATAACACAAATTATATTTTAGTGGAACTATAATCAATGTTAACCTAGAGAACTAATGATCTTCTTTTCTCATAGCAGTCGAATACGTATTTTGCAATTAACTTTTGCACTGGTTTGTTCTTGCTCAGAGAGTTTATTAACAACCGAAAAACATCATTTGGTGCCATTCTGTTTACTGATATTCTGTATTCTTTGTTTAAGTATTCAGATAAAGTACTTCTTTTTCCTTGATACGCAGGGCACAGAGTTAAAAATGTATTTCACCTTCTACGTATATATATTATATACTTAAATAACTGTTACTAACTTAGTGCAATAAACATCAAGAAAAGTATTGTGTTTCCAGAACAACGATAGTATATTATAATATGAATTTCTATCATTTCCTAAAATTCACTATGGGAAAACCAGAGGTGATAACTAATTGATTATTTTCTAAACAACGTACCCACGAGTTGACGATAGTCTTTCTTTGATTATGTATAGGGACGATGAGGCCAAAAACTCCAGAGCGTAGGATATTTACCTGAACTTAAAATACGATTGAATAACTCTAGTAGATGACCTTTTATGATATCTTTCCCGGTTTTTAGCACTTTATTTAATATTTTATCATACCCTGGGGCTTCAAAAAACAAACAAACAAAGTTTGTTTAATTTCAGTTTTTTGATTGCGAAATCAATTTCTTCTTCCGATATTACATAGTGTTAGTATGTGTAATCAAATGGTGACGAGTGAAATTAGGGAATATACCATTTGATTACCTATTAATATCATGGGTGACGAATTACGTTAGCTATCTTGGATTTTTGACATGTTTATTCTGGATCGTATCGATCGAGAACTCCTGCACTCTCTCGAACGTTTATAGCTTAAATTTGGCTTAAGTTCAGAGTTTTTCGACAAAATACCTGTTAGAATCCTTCTTGATGTGCTCTTTCGTGTGTTCAGGGTTTCTAAAGCGTCTCTTTGTGCCCTGACATCTTCATTCATGACATTTTAAAACTTCGTCGCCATCTTGACACTCACTGGGAGACGTACGTTAGGTTGCCATGGCAATTTTGTAATTTCACATGTGAAATTACAAATTAACGCTGAAATTTCGCGCCAAAATTAAGGAGTAATTCGTCACCTATGTATGATATTAGGGGGAAAATGTAGATTTCATTGGGTTTTCAATTTATTTCGTGGCACGTGAACTACAAAATTATAAAATAGGAATTTCGATCCTTCTTTCTTGTTCTCTTTCTTAGTTTTGTTGCCCATTTTATCGTCATTCTTTCCTACGGAATTTCGGCTGGCTAACTTCCCAGGAGGACGAAAGTTTTATCTGGAAAGAGTAGTAGGTGAATGCTGAAATTGACAGTGGATTTTCAGTTCCCCAAAATGTTAGTCTGCCGCCGGGGATTAGTGAGAATCTGTCCTTCCTGAACCCGTAAATTGCCAACTGAATCACATGAATTAAAATGAAAACAAACTCGGATCAATTTTGTGAAATATTGTTTGCTGAAGCCAAGAAAGTGTCACTTGACATTGTTTCAGTAAACAAAAAGAAAAAAAACTAATTTGTTTCCACTTTCAACCATAGTTATTAGAGGAGACTGGTTATGAAAAGCGGCAAACATCAATGATAAAAACAACAGTGCTGCAGTTAATGTTGGAAGCACCCTGAAAGTGCACAATCCTTTGTTTTCTGTTGGCAAATTGTTGCGGAATAAATTAATGCAACGTTTTTATTGGTCAATACAATCAAAATGAGAGGAATTCTTTTGAACGTTGTGGACTTTCAGGTCCACAAAAACATATAACAAAGGAGTCTGACGGGTTTCATAACCATTCCACTCAATTAACTATGTTTCAACATACTATTAAATTTATATAGCGATTCACAAAACTAGTTTTGTCAAACGACCTCTTCAGTTGATCGCCACAGTATTCAAAATAACAGACACTCTACCTAGCAATGCATGAAAAATGACCCCTAGTAATAATGAGGCTATTGGGCTACAACAGTCCTTTTGGATGCGGACGTAGTTCCATTCACTTTTTTTTCACCCTAAATGACCCGATCCTTTGTCAAGGGATTAAATTAATACCACGGCTTTCTTTATGGGGAGAAATGCCTTTTACAAAAGTGTGTGTAACCTCACCTTATGACCTGTTTATTGTTTATTATCATTTTGCCACCCAAACAAACATATACGTAGAAAGTTTAAAAGAAGAGGAGGCAAGGGAACCCAAGAAAGCCAAGAAAGCCAAGAAAGCCAAGAAACCCAAGAATAAGGCTGGAGAATAGGACTCCTTAAGGGAGCCAGATAGCCTGTGCCAGGCTCTCAGATAGTATAGTGGGAACGTATTAAAACGAGCAAAACGAAAATAAGACGCGCATGACTTGGGAAAGGGGGCGGTGGCGGCGGGAAAAATGTCCCCAGCCCCCGCGCTTATTACTGAACGACTTTCCACCACCATCTCGGAGCCTGGAACAGGCTAGGGGCAAGACGTCGAATTTATCATGAGACGACCTAAATTACGATTTGGGTAGACATTAAGTTCGATTTAAGTGAACGATTATACTACCTAATTGGTAGTTAATTTCGCGTTTTTGGCGATTGTAAAAAAATCCCGAAATTAAAGACCCGCGAATATAAATCAGCGCGTAATGTTAAAACCCATGTAGAAAATTCAAAACACGCCAAAAAATATATATATTAACAATTTACCAACAAAATATACATTATGTTCAACAAACACACAAATTGTTGATTGGTTTTACTGGTAATGAAAAGTTTTATTTTGTATCTTCATTTGTGAAATAGCGTTAATTGCAAAGATTTCACACATTGCATGTTCCAGTTTATCTAGAAATTTTAAGAAGTTCAGACTTTTTGAAAAATAAAATCAATTTGAGAATGCTTGAACCGCAAAACTTAATGGCCTTTTTTTTTTTTTTTCGTATTTGCCTGTTGAAATCGCGAAAATAAAACCCTGCGAAAAACTATCTTGCCAAATTCGTGAAATTAAGTATTTCTTTTTTTTTTTTTACTGTCACTTTTTCATGAATTTTTGCGGCGTAAGTATTTCGAGCACTCGTGAATTTTATGCTTTCGTTTTCCTATCCAGATTGTTCCAGTTATCACTTTGAAAAATACCAAGATTTACCAACCAGAGGAACTCACGCCGTGGAACACTTCAACATCAATGGAAGTTTGTTTCTCGCATTCGCCAACTTTAAAAGTGACACCGCCGAAAAATTTAACACAGACTCTTTCATCTACAAGTTCAACGATTCGACTAGAAAATTCTTCCTTTATCAAACCATTGGTACAAATGGAGGGCTTGACGTGAAATATTTTACAATTTCTGGCGAACATTACCTTGCTTTTGCTAATTCCTTCAATGGAACTACAAGCAGAATGAACTCAGTTATTTATCGTTGGAATGGAACATTGTTCGTTGCATTTCAAAACATTGCAACGAACGGAGGAGACAGCTTTGATTTTTTTGAAATAGCAAAAAAACCCTTCCTTGCCATATCCAATGTCTACAATGTCTACAGTGGCTTTACACTTAGGGAAAAATCAAGCATCTACGAGTGGAGAACACACAGATTTGCAAAGTTTCAGGAGATAGAAACAAATGGAGGTCGTGAAAGTGCTGCTTTTGTAATTAATAATGAAAGCTACATTGCTTTTGCAAACGCCGCCGCGCATTCAGTCATTTATAAGTGGTCAGGGAAAAGATTCTTTCACCTGCAAAATCTTCCTAAAGCGGTGGATTTAAAATCATTTTACGTTAATGATCACGCCTTTCTTGCCCTTGCATCTTCTGTAGTGAATGCGGACTCATCTATTTACAAGTGGAATGGCAACCAGTTTGTGTTATTTCAGTCTATTCCTGCTCGTAGAGCGAGGGGCTTTCATCCATTTGTCATGTGTGGTCAAACGTTTCTGGCTGTGGCTGATCGGCACAACACGAATTCCGCACTGTATCGGTTCTCTCAGGGCAAGTTCACCAAATATCAGGAAATTTCAACCGTTGGGGCGATTGAAATGACGTCATTTGAATATAGGGGTCATACTTACCTGGCTGTTGCTAATTCAGGAAATAATAACCAAATGAACATTAAAAGTACGGTGTACAAGTGGATCTAAAGAGAATGTTAACCCTCGGACGTACACCCGAACTCATAACCAAGACAAGACAAGACAATGCTTTATTTGGAGTCTTATACAGTCCTATGTACATCGACTTTATCCAAATAATTTAAAATCATAACACAAATTATATTCTAGTGGAACTATAATCAATGTTAACCTAGAGAACTAATGATCTTCTTTTCTCATAGCAGTCGAATACGTATTTTGCAATTAACTTTTGCACTGGTTTGTTCTTGCTCAGAGAGTTTATTAACAACCGAAAAACATCATTTGGTGCCATTCTGTTTACTGATATTCTGTATTCTTTGTTTAAGTATTCAGATAAAGTACTTCTTTTTCCTTGATACGCAGGGCACAGAGTTAAAAATGTATTTCACCTTCTACGTATATATATTATATACTTAAATAACTGTTACTAACTTAGTGCAATAAACATCAAGAAAAGTATTGTGTTTCCAGAACAACGATAGTATATTATAATATGAATTTCTATCATTTCCTAAAATTCACTATGGGAAAACCAGAGGTGATAACTAATTGATTATTTTCTAAACAACGTACCCACGAGTTGACGATAGTCTTTCTTTGATTATGTATAGGGACGATGAGGCCAAAAACTCCAGAGCGTAGGATATTTACCTGAACTTAAAATACGATTGAATAACTCTAGTAGATGACCTTTTATGATATCTTTCCCGGTTTTTAGCACTTTATTTAATATTTTATCATACCCTGGGGCTTCAAAAAACAAACAAACAAAGTTTGTTTAATTTCAGTTTTTTGATTGCGAAATCAATTTCTTCTTCCGATATTACATAGTGTTAGTATGTGTAATCAAATGGTGACGAGTGAAATTAGGGAATATACCATTTGATTACCTATTAATATCATGGGTGACGAATTACGTTAGCTATCTTGGATTTTTGACATGTTTATTCTGGATCGTATCGATCGAGAACTCCTGCACTCTCTCGAACGTTTATAGCTTAAATTTGGCTTAAGTTCAGAGTTTTTCGACAAAATACCTGTTAGAATCCTTCTTGATGTGCTCTTTCGTGTGTTCAGGGTTTCTAAAGCGTCTCTTTGTGCCCTGACATCTTCATTCATGACATTTTAAAACTTCGTCGCCATCTTGACACTCACTGGGAGACGTACGTTAGGTTGCCATGGCAATTTTGTAATTTCACATGTGAAATTACAAATTAACGCTGAAATTTCGCGCCAAAATTAAGGAGTAATTCGTCACCTATGTATGATATTAGGGGGAAAATGTAGATTTCATTGGGTTTTCAATTTATTTCGTGGCACGTGAACTACAAAATTATAAAATAGGATTTCAACTGTTTTGAATAAGTTTTTATTTAAGTCTGTACAAACAGGAATCTTTATTCTCTGTGCAAACATTGTAACCGAGATGGTTTACTCATGTATATAATTATTGGAACAGTGTGCCTTAGGAAATTTCTGTACGCATATTATATGTACCTTCGAAATTGAATTTTCTAGAAATAGATAGCTTAGTCACTGAATAACTAGACCTTTCGTCTGTTCAAATACCAACCGTTCGTAGTTTTAGTTTTGACATTTTGAGGGATCCTGAGCAAAGGAAACTCGAATTATTTTACACAGCTTTCTTTGTTAATGTAAACTTCCTTAATTCAGTTGCTTGACTGACATTTAGACCCTGTTTACATGGAGTGGGGGACCCCGGTCTAGTGGGGTAAGTTTCTTTTGTCTTGTGTCCTCCAGAGCGTGAAAACAAAAGAAACCAACCCCACTAGACCGGGGGTCCCCCACTCCATGTAAACAGGCCCTTAATTTTGAGCTATTTAGTTTAACATATGAACTTTTAAACTGAATTTATCCAGATTTGTTTTCGCTGTTCAGATGATTTTATTCAGCCTTCTTTCCTTTTGTTTTGCGATGTTCTAATAAGTTGATCGGTTGGGATAAATAGAGCACTGTTATCACTGTTTTTCGATTTACATCGCGGAGCTATATGCTTGTACGATTTACATTGCGGTTGTACATGCTTGTACGATTTACATTGCGGATTTACATGCTTGTACGATTTTACATTTGCGGATTTATTTGTCTGTATGATATACGTTCACGAGCTGAAGACTAAACTGTTGAAGTCCAAGTTTGAGTCCTGTCCTGTTTCCAGTTGTAGCAGATCCTAGTACCTTGGAATAGTGACGAGTTCCTTTCCCTCTAGCCAAGCGAGTTGCACAGTTAGTTTTCCCCCTCTGTTGTTCTGACGCCGAAGTCGCTCGAGTTCTCTTTACGCTCAATTCCCCGATTTGTGCTTGGAAGGGCAAAACCTATCGTCACAATAGTCTAGGGGGCCTGCCTCTTCCTCAATAACTCCAGTATCTTCTAGATCTGTCTGGTGGCCGTTCGTTGGAGCCGCGTTTTGTTGTTTGAAGTATTCATAAAACTGTTCCGCACTTACTGTTTCGGTTCCATGTGGTTGCCGTTTTGTAATATTAAAGATTTTACCTACACCTAATTGCAATAACGTTGTCATAGAAAAAAAGCAAAAAGCAAAAAAGCCAAATAGGAATAAATTAGCCATGTGATTTACATTTGCGTATTTTAATTCAGTATTTAACAATTATTTAAGAATTCATTCACAATAGCAAGAGATAATTCTGTAATTCTGCGCTGTAATATTGACAGGCGCCATAGTCATTTTAGAGCTAACATTCTCCATCGAAAGAAGTCGCACAATTCGAGAGAGAAAACGGTAAATTGACGCGAGCAATGTTATGTCTCAGTTGACGCACGTTCAGTTGCCAATCTTTGATGTCCTGACAAACGAAGCTTGGGTTGTGGCTCAGGTAAGGAACTGGCGGAGGACCCCCTCACCCTCTCCACAATGAAAGGTCCTGCCTACCCCCCTGATTTGTTGCTTAAAAATTGTGATCAGATGGTGTTGTGCACTGCAAACCATACGCAGACTGGCTTTTCTATTTAGCACTAATCTAAAACACGCGTTGAGTTCCTAGAATTTACCCCAGGCTATTTTTGTTGAAAAGAAATGGAGCCATTATTTCTTTGGTAGTTATCCGATGTGCTTTGTAATTCGAGCACGTTTGAAATTCGCTAAATGATTCAGCCTTGAATTGCATGAGAATGACAGTAAGAAACCGATGCAAATGATTTCTCTCATATTACGTGATTAATATTCAGCTGTAAGCGNGTTCCAGCGTTGTAAACAGTGGACCGATGACCGATGACCAGCGTATTTGCGTGTACACTATAATAACTCACATATGAAGTACCTACCATAAAAATGCCCGGCTACATTTCCAAAATGGCTACCAAAACAACGAAGGAAAAGTGCCGATACGGCGAGCATTTTCTATATTTTTCGCATTGTTGTGACGCATGTCTACTTAACAGCGCTTTGGATGAACAAGCAAATTATTGCTCTTCAAATTCGTTGATTTGTCCGAACTTCTTAGTGGATCTACAGGAAGTTTCTGGCGGTTCTTGAAGCTTTGTTCTCAGACGATGCTGTTGAGAGTGATGGAAGGTGAATTCATTCAAGATTTGATGTCCAAAGTTGAGCTTTTCTGAAGTAATATTTGAAGAAATTTGAGACGTTGTAAGACGATTTGGGTCTCTTTTAGGGTAAATTTTGTGTCAAAATTTGTCCGAACTTAACTTTTAAAAATCACCCACCGGACAATATTTTTATTATCACAGAGATGTCCTCTTTCTTTTAGGAGCGATGGAAGATTTTCATCCTTGGTTATAGGTCAGTGATCCTGATATTTATTTTTTATCCCATACATTTCTTTGTAATTCTTTCTCCGCCATGTTTAAAGGCCTAGAGAGGTGAAATATGATCGATGTCTCGGATTTCTGGTAATGGCCTCACAGTCTGAATTATCTAAGGGTTTGTTGATAAAGTGCTGGATCGTTAACAGCGCACTAGTGCAATTTCCACTTTCACGGTAAGCAAATTGAGTGGTTCTTAGATTTTCCTCCACAGCCTCCTTCACAAAAGTGTTATAAACAACTTTCTCAAACGCCCTGGCTATAACTGGAGTGATATTTATGCCATGGTAGTCAGATTTTTCTTTGGGTATGTCAACCTTGGGTATCGGATTTATATTCGATCTTTTTCATGACATAGGCCAGGTGTGCGTGCGCGGAGACAATTTCCAAATATGACTGAGAACTGGTGTTAAAATCTCAGCATGTTCCTTCCAAACCCAAAAAGGGATGCCATCAGGACCCGTGACTGTTCGTTTGATTTTGCCAAGACTTTTCCAAACAAGCCTCTCAGGAGTTTCAGGTGCTTCAATTTCGCTCCCGACAACCACATCAACTGGTGCAATGTAATTCTGGTCAGTACAAAGTTCATGAAAATAATCATGCAACTGGTTGGCAAAGGTGTTATCTAATACAACAGAGTTGGAGTGGGTGCGACGTTGTGTGATGTCGTCTACGGTTTTCCACCAACCACCACTTCCCACAGGAGCGGCGAGATGTGTCCTGTTTTCACAATCAGCTCAGAGATGCGCCTATTAATTGTGGCTAGCTGTTCTTTATTGTTACAACTAAGCCTAGATTTTTTCTTCAGTAGTGTCTTTACCAGAGGGCTCATCCACGCGGGATCCCTGGAGGACATTGTAACCGTCTTAAGGGGCAGGCACCTGTCCATTAAAGTGGTGAGTTTTGCTTCCATTTGAGAGACCGCTGCATCAACCTTTCAAAAAGATCCGGACGATTTGTTAAGCAGTTATCCAGGTGCGAGTCGCCCCTTGTGGGAAAGTCAACGAGCGAGTTCCAGCCACTTAACGCCTCAAGGTGTTGTAGGTCCAGTTGATTTAGATCACCACCGCATACCACCACAGTGTCAAGATGTTTCTTTAACACATAATCTACATATCCAACCAAATAGTTCATTAGATCGCAAGCCTGATAAGTTATGCTTAGGTGGGTGGTAGAGTCCGCATACCAGCATGTGATGTCCCGAT